AGAACTCTCAAGTCCCATCGAGTGAGAAACCTACTAGGGCCGCCTAGGGGTTCGAGGTGGGCGAACGCCTTGATTCCTTCGTGTCACCCTGAAACTCAGCATTCATTTGCGCTCGCAACCAGTGAATTTTTCCCAGAGATCGAGAATTCGCCCTGGAAGAAACGCACTTTGGGAGGCGGCGTCGGGCACACAGCGGACGGGGGAAACGGCGGCGAGACACGTCAGCACGAACAGTGCGCCGAGACTTATGCTGATGGGGCGTCCCATGAGAGCGCACCTCCACATCGGGAGATGGAAGGCCAGTCTTATAATTCGAAAAACACTGCGCGATGCGGCTTGGTGGGACGACTGATGCTGCAGAAAGGCGGCGTGAGTGGTCGATATTTTGTTAACGTTAAACAGAAAATTTCTGTGTTTCTAGGGCAGGCAATGAGGCGAACAGGAATCTAGTCCTAGTAGTCTAGGCAAGAAGCTGGTGCAAAATGAAGAGTCACAAGCACTTCTGCAAAGAGGGGTAAAAAGGTTGTGAGAGGGAGGTCCAGTCTTGCCTGAACAGCGAGGCAAGGTGAGCTGGGAGGTGACCCCAGCGAACCGCCTTGGCGATGGCGAATTTGTTTTACTTTCGAATCAGATCCCATTTCCAGGTTGGGCCGACAACAGACATTGCCCATACGACTCGGTTTCTGGAGGGTTTGGTGGGCGACTGCGACTGACCGTGCGTTGCGACCTTTGTTAACGACCCCCCGCGTACAAATGCGAACGGACTCGAATCGCAGCCAATAATGATCTCCCACTGCCCGTCAAAACACACAGCCAGCCGTGCGGAAACTCCCGCCTAACTGCGCAAAACGTTGTATTCTCACCGCACCTGCGTGGACTCCATGGGTGTTGCGAACTGGAATTGGCAGTGTCTGTTTCGCTGCAAGGAACCCCCAGCAGCTGTGGGACGGTTTCATTCACCCTGGGCGTTAAAAAGTCTTCGCGTGGGTCGTGTCCCTGCCAAATCCCGACGGCGGCACTATTCGCCGTTGGTCGCCGCTCCACGTCACACCTTGCCCAAGTGGTGCGTGCAGTTCGGCCAATCTCCGAGGCGCATGGATGAACATTGAAAAGTGTTTGCAAAACAGTTCGAATCGCATCGGAAAATTCTTCTGCCAGTCAAACCTGGAAATACGCCCTCGAAATTCTGAAAGAACCTCTCGCACACTTGCGTCTCGCGAAACTAGGTTACCCTGCTATAGAATATTCAAGGTGCCGTGGGTTTCGAAGGGTGGGCGTGGCATGCCAGCAGGGCGTCTCAAGGGACTAAAAATCTCGCCAAGTGCGCGTGTCTGGCGAGTCAGCGCAGCGGCTGACCCTGTTGACGAAGGCCGACCACGAAACCAATTCTCCACATAACGAGAATGACCGAAACAAGAAGACCCCCAGCACACACCCCTGCATATAAAAGTAAGGTACTTGTATTTAAACAAATATTTATATACTAGGAGAGGATGCAAGGAGAGGTAGGCCTTGCTAACAACACGTTCTCAAACTGAAAGAATGAACTAGAATGTGAGATTACAAGGCAATATATGCTAGTGTCTTGTACCCTCTAAGGCACAAACCTATATAGTCTACAATAACATATTATGTTATGTTTGACACACCCCCTAGACTACACAAGGGCAGTGCCTAACAAGAGAACAAGCAACTCAGGGCGGCACTATTAGTCCAGCCTCTGAGGCAAGGGTCTAAAACCGAGTCAAATGGAGTACAGACGAAACAGGAGCAAGACTAGGGCGGCACTACTAGTCCAGCCACTGGGAGAGGCCACAAGGCCAGTCAGGGTAAGATATATATATATAAAGGTCAGTACACAATCAAGGTCCTAGCAAATGAGAGGCTACAAGAACAAGACCAAGCTGAACACAGTGCCGCTGATGACCTTTAGGCGCAAGCGCCTTCGTAAAGATATCAGCTGTGTTGGCACCGGAGGCCAACTGTACTACGAGGGCATGGCGGCGCTGCTGCAGCTCGCGCAGGAGGAAGTACCGCAGCTGGATGTGCTTCGCTCTGCCCTCAAGTCGAGGCTCCTGACACAGGAGGATCATGGCCTTGTTGTCAGCGTACACGACCGAGGCCGAGCTAGGCCGCTCACATAAGTCAGTGAGCAAGAAGGTCAGCCAGCGGAGCTCATGTGCTGCCATGGCACCGGCGTAGATCTATGACTCGCAGCTGGAATGGGCAACAGACGAGGAGTGGGTAGCTCTCCACGAAACAGAGCCTGAACCACTATTAAAGCAATAGCCCTGAGAGGAACTGAGAGTCTCTGCGTCGTCTGCCCAAGAAGCGTCTCTGTGCCCGGTAAGGACCACTGGCCTGCGACCTCCCAGCACTAGCCCCATGCCTGATGTACTTGCAAGATAACGCAAAACAATCTTAGCGGCAAACCAGTGCTGTGGTCGGTGTCTGCCTGTGGCCACAAAGCGAGCCAGGATGCTGAGAGGGTATGCGAGATCTGGGCGAGTGCAAGTCATCAGGTACATGAGGCAACCCACCAGCTCCGCGTACAGACCGCTGGGCTCGACTGACTCCTCAAGAACAGGAGCTGAGAGCCTGTGGTCCACCGGCAGAAGTGTGGGCTGTGCATAGGAAAACTGAAGACCGAACCGCTGAAGGACCTGGCGCACCAAGTGTGACTGTGAGAGTGTGATGGTGCGCGCTGTTCTGTCCCTGGAGATCTGCAGGCCAAGGTAGTGGCGCAGTTCTCCTAGGTCAGTGCAGGTGTGTTTCTTCAGCAGCTCTGCCTTCACGATGGCCAGCGAGTCCCTGTCTGAAGTAGCGAAAACCAGGTCGTCTACGTAAACAAGGACGTAGAACGGGGTCTGGCCAGCACGAACAAAGAGTGAGGGGTCGGCAGAGGACGGGAAGAACTGCAGGTCAGCTAGGGTAGCACGCAGCGTGTCCTGCCACTCACGGGGCGCCTGTCGCAGGCCGTAGATTGGGTGCCGCAGGAGCCACTGGGTTCCAAGAGGGAAGGTACCAGTAAAGCCCTGCAGGTGGTGCAGGTAGACCTGCTCGTATATGCTGCCCTGAAGAAAAGCTGTGGAGAAGTCGAGGGAGTGTGACTCGTAGTCGCGTTGTGCTGCTACGTGTAGCTGCGCCCGAAGAGTAGTCATCTTCGGGGTCGGCGCAAAGGTCTGAAAGAAGTCCACCCCCTCACGCTGACTGAAGCCTCTAGCCACGTAGCGTGCCTTGAACACAGGCGGCTCTCTAGGGGGGCGCTTCACCTTGAAGAGCCAGCGGCCATCAACTACGTTCACCCCAGGTGGGGGAACTGCGTCGACGTAGGTGCCGGTGGATCTCTAAGATGCCATCTCCTGCTCCATGGCCGCTATGCACTGAGCGGCCCAGGGTCCCGAGGTGGCCCTAGCGTAGGTGCGAGGGGTCGGGATATCGAAGGCGTCTGGGTCACCCTCAGGAACTAGCAGCATGGAGCAAAGATGGGGAGCAGCCTCGGACAGGAAAGCAAGCTCGTACTGCCGGTCCTCCAAGACGTCACTGCCGAGGGCAGGAGCACCCCCGACGGACGAAGGACAGGCAGGGTCAGAGACCAGAGCAGTGGCGTAGTCAAGGCGGCGGGTAGAGGCGAAGTCAGCAACCGCAGCCACAAGAGCGTCAAGACGTGAAACAGGAATAGACGGGTCGGTAACGAGGGAGGCAAGGACCCGAGGAACAAGAGGACGAGCGGCGCGAAGGTAGTGAGACAGAAGGGGAGGCGCGACGACAAGGGAGGACAGAGGAGGCGACGGCATGAGGGGAGGACGTGACACGTAGGAACGAAGCAACATAGGGTGAGAACGAGGAACAGGAGAGACAGGATGAGCCCAAGAGGGACGGCGAGACCAGACGTGGGACGGAGGCGTCGGGTCAGGAGACAGAGGAGGAGTAACAGGAGGAGAACAAGGGGGAAGGCGAGCCGGAGATGAGTCCGGAGGAGGAAACACAGGGCCGAAAACATGAAGAGGAGGAGACGATAGAAGAGGGGAGATGAGCGGTCAGAGGAGGGAACGCCGTGCAGACGAAGGGGGGACACCGGTGGGGATTGCTGCTACGGCGGCTAAACGACGCCGACACCTGGACCGCCAGCTGCTCCACGGCTACCTCCGGAACACTCCACTCGGAACACTCCCAGAACTAGAAGCTCGCTCTGCATCGGGACCACCCCCAAGCCTGCCGGGACAAGCCACGACAGGAGCCCCAGGACTAGCACCCTCCTCAACGCCAGCACCCCCAGAAGGAATGAACTGCTGCCGCGGCAGCGACAACGGTGGCGGCAGCGGCAGCGGCGGCGGCGACGAATGCGGCTGCGGTGGCGGCTGTGGCTGCGACGGCGGCTGCGGCTGCAACGGAGGGCCACCAGAGTCAGCCGACTCCTCAAGCAGGACTACCGACGCAAGGGGGGTAACGTGAGACACACCAGACGGGGCAGGGAGGGGAGGAGGGGGGGCAGGGGCGACCGGGGGAGGAGGGACCAGGAACAGGGGGGGGTAACCGGGGGACCACGGTGGGGAAAGCGGCGGTAGAAGGAGATGGACTCGTCAAAGGTGACGTCGCGAGAGTGAAAGGAACGGTGGGACGGGGGGTGGTAGAAGTGCCAGTCAGACGAGTCGAGGGGGAAACCTAGGAACACACACGGGACTGTGCGGGCAGTGAGCTTGTCCATGCCACAGGCATGAACGTGGGCAAGGCAAACCCCAGACGTGAAACGCAGATGCGTCACTTGTGCGGCCACAGGTTAAGCTGGTGAGCGGCGTAGCGAATGGCGAAAGGCCACTGAAAATGGGGTGCACCGGCATGGATCATAGAGGTACGAGCCACCTCCCTGACCAAACCGATGCGTCGCTCAGCAACCCCATTCTGCTGCGGGGAGTCCGGCAAGGTGAACGTCTGGATGATGCCCTCCGCACGACAGAAACGACCAAGGCAACCTGAGGCGAACTCGCCACCGCGGTCATGGTGGAGACGCAACACAGGGAGACTACAATGCACACTCGGAGAGCCAAGCCATGAGATAAGAACGTCAGGCACGTCGGCCTTCCGCTCCAAGGGAAACACAGTGGTGTAACGAGTAAAGTTGTCAACAAGGACGAGAAAGTAACGCTCACGACGCGGCCCATGGATGGGGGCAGGGCCCCAGACGTCCATGTGCAAAGTCTGCAAGGGTGCGGTGGTGGGGGGGAACGAGGAGAAGTGAGGGGCACGGCAGAGCTGGCCCTCGATGCAGGGGGTGTACGGCAGCGCGGGTGAGGAGGGGAGCTTGAGGAATGACCTAGGAAGACCGAAGACAAGACCGTGCTGCGATATGTGACAAAGACAAGGGAGGGCAGGTTTTCCTAGACTGTGGTGGCACAGGAGTGTCGGGTGAGTAAGGGACCGACACGAGCAAGCCGCAGCTATGTGAGGAGACACGGGCACCTCGGGAGACGCCCCAACCGGGGGGGGTGCGGTGGCCAGTGTGAACAGGCCGGACACCGGGTCCCGGGGGAACGTGGTGAGGGGAGCACCTATGGCGGCCTCGGTACAGACACCGTACCGCTCGTGACCAGGGAACATAGTGGTGACGCCAAGGTCCTGGAGGCAGCCGACACCAACTAGGTTCCTAGAGAACGAGGGGATGTGCAGGGCTGTAAGGGAGCCCGAAGGAGCCGCCGGACAGGGAAGGGTAGTGGAGCTACGATCTACGACAGTGCCTCAGGAAGGGTCAGCCAGGGAAACCGCGGCGGGAGCGGCAAGCGGCGTGAGAGTAGTGGAGTCTCGGAAGAAGCACCGGGAAGTGCCGGAGTCCAGGGTGAAGGAAAGTGCAGCAGAGGCGGGAGGGGTCGAGTAAGCCTTGGAGGAGCCTAGGCTAAACAAAGCAGGAGATCATACGCCTGACGCAGCAGGGGAGTCTAAGCTAGGCACTCCTACACAAGGCAACAGGTGTAAGCGGAACCAATCACACTAGAGTCGTCGACATACAGAACATACAGCACTGAGCTAATCTCATCCATGTCCATATCAAAGACTTGAACACCCCTACGAAGTAAGCTGAGCCAGTCGGGGAGGTCGGGCGCCGGGCCGAAGCGAAGACAAAACAGGTCGTCAAGGCGACTGAAACAGCGAGTGGTGGTGTGAGTGGTCTTACCGCACACGAGGCCACGGCGAGGACCGGTCTGAAGCTGGTACTGGCAGCGCCCGTCGCCCGCACCACCACCTGTCGTCACGCTGCGCGCACGACCACCGCGACAGCCACCACCACCAGTGCCGGGCCACCCAAGCGGGAGACGACCAACCCGCCGCTGCCGCTGCTGCTGATGCTGCGGCTGCTGCTGCTGCTGCTGCTGCGGCAGTGGCTGCTGCTGCTGCTGCGGCAGTGGTTGCTGCGGCTGCTGGACGAGCGAGGGGACCTGCTGCTGCTCGGTGGTGCTAGGCCCAGGGCCCTCGTCAGCACCCCCAGCGGGCGACCCGGTTCCACCACCTCCTCCACCCCAACCACCCCCACCACCCCCACCGCCACGCCCAGCCTTGGGGCGGCGGCCCTTTCCAGGACGGGCCTGCGCTGCAGCGGCCGTCTCAGCCACTGCAGCAGAGCCGTCAGAGAAAGTGCACTGAGCAAGCGGCTGAAAGATAGAGACCGACACCGTACCGCTGAACTGAGCAATAGAGCGCTGGCGGGTCTCTATGGCAGACAGGGTGTCAACAAAGTCAGTGAGGGTGAGGTCAGCGGGGTGGGCACTAAGAAAGTGATCTCTCACTAGACATGACATATGTCTAGTGAGGCATTATTACAGAGCACACACAGAAACTTACCCACTATCAATGTTGACGAGTCTGCCCAATGGGTGGAATTTGTCCGGATAGCTTGTTGTCATCAAGATAACTGCAACAACAAAACATATGATTTCAACGGGGAACACAATACTTGAAAATCTATCCATTAGTCCCCCATCTTTCTATTTCCAATACTTCCTTATAACTGCATTTGATTGATTGGTAGTGTAAAGAATTTTGATTAATGTCAAGTGTTAAATGTAGTGACTTTATAGACCTCTGACGTCGAAAGCATTAAGGGCTATAGATGTCGCAACGCACCAACTAATATGTGTGCATGTTAACAAGCCAACGACAATCACATTCAGCCTAAGTGCGAGACTTCCTCAGCTGCCTGCACGTCACAGACCAGTGGAAACTACCACTCACTGGAATAAATTTGTGAGCCTGCTGATGGATTCAATGGAGCCAGTCAAAGCATTGTGACCACGACACATGAAGAGAGAACAAAGGGATTGCGGATGAGGATATTTGATCACAGGTATACACAAAACTCATGCGTGTGCCATTTAATTATGTCTACCATATGATAGTCATTTAGAAAAGATATACATAGGGATCTACATAGCCATCATTGAGAAAAGATTTACATGCAACGAATGACACAGATCATGTTGTGCTTTCTCATTCCAAAAAGGACTTGCCAGGCTGTTGAGAAAGTAGTGATCCGCAAACACTTAGGTTTGTATAGAAAAAACTCAAGTAGAAGAGATTCCCAATGGATTCAGAAATTCCCCAAAGGAAAATGGAAGCCCTAAAAGTACCTCCTGATCCCCCTTCCCTCCTCCCCTTACTTCATCGTTGAATCGTGATCACCCTCCCTCTCCCCCACTTTCTGCCTCCTCCCCCACCTGCCCCTTCTCCCCACTTCTCCGGCCTCGGCGCTAGCTCCGACGCTGGCTTCACATGGGTTTTTTTTTCCTCTGGCCCTCTCCCTCCAGCGTTGGCTCTGCTGGACTTGCAGCAGGCATTGGGGCACACATTCATGGGGTGCACCTGCATTAGAGAGGTAGTGCGAACCAACAGCTGCCATCGTTGCCACCACTGCAATCCCTGCTTACCCTGCCATCACTGCCATCCGTGCCATCACTGCCAACCCTGCCATCACTTCCAACCCTGCCATCCCTACCGTCATTGCCATCCCTGCCATCACTGCCATCACACACCTTCTTTCCATCCTCCCTTCTCTTCTGCATCCCACCACCCCTACAATACACATCACACCCTGTCAGGCAGTCATTTGACGGCTGGCGGGGTCTATTCCATCCATGATTGGCGCGCTGAGCAGACTCACACTACTGTTAGTATCATTCAATTCTGGGCCCGCCAAATGCTTGCTAAGATACGCTTTCATTCGAATATGGATGCACGATGTGCACCGTCCTATGCTCCTTGTCTGTACCTGATCTTTCCACACAAGGATGCATGCTATTCTTCGTACTACTGTCATACATTCTTGTCGCCGCATAACACCATCCCTTCCATTGAGCTGTTCTTCACGTGATGCCTAGACTGCTGCTGTGTGGGTTGTGCGCCACCCTTTGTTTTCCTGTATTTGCTGCTTTCCCCTTTTAGATGGCAATGTCTCTGCAAACCAACAAACTATCTGGCGAGATACTATTTGACACAGGAAAGCTCCGCAGTATACGCGTGAGTGCCTTTTGTTTAAACTTCGCTTTGCATGCCATTTTCCTATTCCATATGTTTTTGGGCAGAAATTTAGATTGCAACTGCACTGAATTGTGCATGTGATCACTAGCTGATGTTCTTGAAAGAACAACATATCTCCTCCTTGTTGTAGCCACCCTGTCCCTCCATCCCTCCGTGCTGGCTCCTGTTCTTTCCTTTTATCACTGTATACAGACAATGCAGGTCCCTTTTTATGAAATCATTGTCTGGCTCTATTCCAGAATCTATCGAGAACCTTGTCGACTTTGGTCAATGTATTACTGTACTTGCTGGATATTTTCCATGATCAAAGGTAATGTAAATTCTTCTACAGGATTCGATAGGGTATAAGATTCTCTAGGTTGTAGTCACACCCTCCTGGCTTCTCCTGGAACCGAGATCAAATGAGCCAGATATCATACGAGTTGTTAAACTCGTGTTTGGATCTTCTCTTCTGACTTCCCTCCGCTGTTCTCTCTTCAGGCGTTTTGACCGCAACGCTTTCACCAGCTCCATTCCAAACTCCTTCAGAAGGCTCACAAGGCTTGAAGCCCTGAGAGTGTTGTTGTCCTCTGGTCGTTCTTAGCATGATAATGCTGTACGCCAGGTCATGCTTTGTGCCGGATCCAGATTGTAGGCTTTCTTTGCATGAGGTCTGTTATATATTATGGGTCTTAGTTTGTCCAAACCTTCGATCGAGCTAAATTATTCCGAAATGCATAAATCAGTGGATTTTTCTGCAAGCTGTGTGTTGCCTCTGTAATGCCACGCCCTCTTGCTGCAGTTTTCTTCACGGCAACAAGGTATCCGGACAGATCTCACCAACATTGGGCTTGCTCGTTTGCATGCCTTTTTGGTAAGGTAGTACCATGCATGGTCTATAAGATGGTGTTGAATAGATAGCTGCCATGCCAGGCGCATCTTGCCACTCCTTCCAAGTGTGTGCTGCGAGATTTACGTGTCCATTCCTCTTGAATACTCCCTCCTTTCCCTTCCTTTCTCTCCACCACTCTGTGCATCTACAATCAATTCCCCTCCCTCTGCACATGCAAGAGTTTCAGTAGTGACTGCATGGTTCCCCAGCATGCCAGAACTGCTTTCTGCCAGCATTGCCCATCCTTCTGCAACACATGTGTTCTGCACGATGTCCCAATCCTACCTGTCAAGTCTTGCTGCAGTCTTGTTGCACACATTGGGATAGCTTCTGCTCCTCTTCGCCTGCTGCAGCTCGCGCAAATTGCACCAACTCTGCTCTTAAAGAGTCCCCCTTCATTGTGTGGAGTTGACGTGGGAAGCAATGCCAATGCTGCTCACTTTTCCCGCCCCCTTCCCCCGCCCTGCCATTCCTCTTCTTCTTCCCCCCTTCCCTCCTTTCATCTCCCCATCAATGAGAGCAGAAAACACGGCGCACTGCAAAACACCCAAACAGAAACAGGGTAGTCAATTCTTTCCCACAAAGCATCTTGAACTTGTAAAGGTGGCCTCAAAAGAGATTTCAGGCCTTGCTTGGGACTTTCTCCTACTTGTGTAAGAGAGAGAGGTTATCTGCATAGGAAACCAGAGTATACGAGAATAAGATAACACACAGGTCATTCTCTAATAAGATATAACACATCCGAGAATACGATACAGTTGACGAAACAACATCACTGTAGTATAGAGTGTTTCAGCGGAGTTTTTAGGGTATGCTCCCCCTACATACTTCCAGACAAGCTACCCGAGACACCCATTATATTCACTCCAGCAATCTCAGCATCGAAATCCGGCTGAAACGAGGCATCGATTTCCTCATCAATGCGAGATGCAACCCTGTTTGCTGTGCTCCAAAAGCTTCCTCCCTCATTTTCACCAACTCTACCAATGCATGGCTCATGGAGGGGCGGGAGGCCTTGGGCATGGCAGAGCATGAGAGGGCAAGGCAGGCCAAGTGCAGCACAAGATCATTTGGTGCGTCCAAACAATGGTCCTTGAATGCTTATACGACATCGGATTCCACCAATGGAACCACCTGCATGGTTTTTTTTTTTTTTTTTTTTTTTTTTGGGTGGGAGGGGGGGGGGGGGGGAGGGATCATACATTATAACAGGAGTTGCAATGCTAGAGATCCTCAGTCATATCTGCCTCCTGCATAGTTGGAAGGACATGGTACAGGGAGGATTCTTTGAATTAGCTTCAAGTCAACAGGTTTGACAATGCCATGGAGCATGGTATAATAACCACGATTTGACAGGGTGTCTTTATGATTGTGAATATGATGGCACATAAACCGGAATAGAAGAAGAGATGCACAATAAATCGGAACGTGGATTTTGATTGAAAACAGGGCAGCTTGCTGAACAGGAGGATACACAGGAAGGACATTGTTATGTTCGTATGTCCTTTCTTGCTGACATTCTCTCCTGCCCATTGCAATGTGTGCTAAATCTTTTGCTAAATACACCCTTGCTTGTTGCTACTTGTGCCTTGTTGAGAAAGGGGCAGCTGAACTTGGCAAACTGGCCAATGAACCTCTGGTCAAAGGAACAAGTACAACTTGTAAGATTGGTATAGGAAAGCTACCCCATTGAGCTCAGTGCTTAATGGAGTTGAATCTACCTGAAACACACAACAGGAGGTGCCTCCCCTCAGCTTCACCAGCCCAAAGTCGGCAATCTTGGCGGCTCACCAATCACAGGACCACCATCTTGAATAATGAGGAGTGTGTGGCCGACCCAATCACAATAACACATGGCTGGTTGGTTCCATAATATGACCACATTGTTCTAGTGAGGGGATGGACAAGGTTAGAAGAGGCGTCTGCTGCAATGCCAGCATCTTCACATTAAGGAGAATATTGGTGGACTTCATGTTGCGATGCACAATGCCTAAATCATGCAGGTACCACACCCCCTCAGCCACTCCAATCAGCACATCCAGCCGTTGCCGCAGAGAAAGAGGGTTGGCGACACCAGGCCCAACCCAGCTCTCGAGATCATTGTTCTGCATGAGCTCGTACACTAGGATCTGCTCCATCTTCAGTGTTGCCGGATTGAAGTAATTACAGTAGACCAGCAGCCGCATGAGATGAGGGTGGTGCTTGCTTGCCATTTCCTTCACCGGAGAGAGAAGGAATAGTTCAAGTCAGGTGATGCAAGGAAATGGACCCTTCTATACAAGCAGATTTTTTTCGGTGTGTGAATGAAATGTAGCTATTTGACAGCAGTGTACCTCGATCTGGAAGTCATTGGTGAGCACTCGAGCTTGTTTGAATGCCCAAACTTGATTGCAATCATAGGGA